AAAAAAAAAAAAAAAAAGAGGGTGAAGGCCTTGCGGAGAAAGACTTACAACATTGTTGAAATTTACCTTGTGTGTTGATGACTGTCAGCAAGAATGGAACACTACGCTAATGAGCTAATTTCAATCAATTTGGTTGGTGTCAGAGCCATTGCTTTAACAAAAAAACACATGACAAAATAAACTTAGCCTGGTTGCTTTTGCAACTGTCTGAGAGAGTGGTTTTAATTCATCTTGCCAATCAACACCAGGACAGAAATTAAGTTTTGTTTTTCTTGTATGTCAAAAGGTGCAAACACTATAAGCTCAAGGAAGAAAGTTTGTACACAGGCAAACCAACCAAACTGTTTGAGGCATCGTGATATCACGCATGACATGCAATCTCATACTTTACTTTAGTTTGTTTACAGCTGCTCTCTCACCTTGTGTTTGTGTTGTGTGTTTTACAGTCTGTTTGATTCTAGGGCCATTTGGAAGACTTTTTATCAGGTTGTTAATGAAGACCAAGTAAAAAAAAAAAAGAAATGTTTCTTTTCCAGATTTCTTTAAAAAAGAAGGCAGTGGGCACTTTTTAACTTTATTATTACCAATTCTCGGTATTCTTTCTTTACAAATTATAACCCTCTCCGAGGGATAACTTGGAGTCTGTCACCGTCAAGATATTGATATTAGGGTAACGGTGTTGAAAGTAATAACTTTTGTTACGTCCAACTTTTCAATAACAGATAATAGAAAAGCCGCTGGGAGGCAGCCCCCCCAAAATAAAGCGGGTGGGGACGAGAACCTTTTTTTTTTACTTGGCCTATTATAAACTCAAAATCTACATATTGTAAAACTTAATATTATGGCTCTAGAGATGAACTGAAAGTAAAACACACAACACAAACACAAGGTGAGTCATTTTCTATCTATTTCTTTCTTTCTTTCTTGCTATCTTTTTTATTTTTCAAAAAATGGAATTTAAAATGTATTTTGCTTATTTTCATACATTCTTAAACTGAATAAAATTCAAAGTTCAGCGATCCGGGCTGCCTTTGTTATCTCAAGAGTGAAGCCTAAAACTTGCCCATACCTGCCGAAAAATTGAAGAACAGGAAATCCTTTACTCATGAATACATTGCAAATGAGTCAATCTGATCTTTTGTAGCGTATACATCCTACTCTGATTGCTTTTATACGGTGAAGACTCGTTGGGGGTCCGCCATCTTGTTTGTTATGATGGTTCACATCCGGTTAAGATGCATCATGGGATGTGTTTAGGCAAATTAATAAATGTTACCCGCTATCTGTGCGCAACAAAACTCTATAAATAGGTCAAAAAAAAAATGCGCATGTCAGAACTCTTTCTCTCAAGGTGTGAAGTTCAGCGTGCAGAATCTCATCAATTGAGTCCGTCTTGACTGAAAGGGCTTCGAATGCATCTTTGGCGAGATTAACGTACTGATCAAACATGTTTTGATCCAGCTCTGTACTGGTAGAATGACAAAGTGAATTTCTGAGGCGTCTCAGCTGGTCAATTGAGAGCGCAAATGTTTCATAGGGGTCTCCGTTTGCACTGATTACAGAGCCATGAAACTGTCCATGAGGGACTCCACGCGGCTTCACATACATCTCATCGAGTGTTTTAAGGTTACCCGTACCGTCTGGTGAACGGAAGGACTTTGCATAGAGTGTGGCTTGAAACAGCGCTGTACAATCCCACTCTTCATATGACTTTTGTGTAGGAATGCCCTTGTTGCCGAATTCATTTCTGTGTAATAATTTTCTTACAGCATCGGAGTCGTCCCACTGATTCCGTCTAAATTTTTTATTCCACATCACCTTAAAAGTTTGACGTAAGCCTTTGGGAAATTCATCCACGACAATGATGCTAAACTTAAAGTAGTTCAACCGCTCCTTTGACTCAAGTCGAACCATGTTTTCGATTTGTCAGATTTGTGAACTTGAACCCCTCAGTTAAATCTAAAAATGGATTGAAAAAACATTTATTTAAATAGACTGTTCTTCTCACTTTGACTTTCGTCGTACCAATTTTAAGAACACATTAACACTAACAAAGACAAAAATGGCGACTTCAAACATTCGAAGACCTACAACTTAGGTATAGATAGTTTTAAGTTTCTGAAGAAACAAACGAAATAAATCATACCAAGCCACTTTTGCGAGGCGGTTGATTCATACTGACGACCAAATTTTGATGTAGTGGCAAAATTCTCGGGGATTTGATCCCCAAAACGCGAGTTTAAGACTTACTGACAAAGGAATTGCGAGGCGTCGTTCTTTAAGTACAGGAAGAACTGCGAGAACGATTCGAAACTGAAACGGGAAAAACCCCACATTCCTAGAAGTGAAGAACGATTCGAAACTGAAACCGAAAAAACCCCACATACCTAGAAGGAAAGATCATCAGTCCGGTGATCTTGGCTTGTAACGCAAGTTGGTCACGCCGTTGTCACGCTTTCTCTCCTGAACTGTGGGATTTGCACAATGGGGATGAGTGAAAAAAGGCTGCTTGTCTCAATAACCCCCCGATCAGTACTCCCGGGGGGGGGGGGTGCATAGCCCTGTTTTTTGTAAAAAGATATTTCTTTATTTGTTCGACTTATACATCAAATAAATGCTTCTTCATAATCATTTGGAGTACGTTTCCTGTGCATGTGGATTATGACGCAAAATCTCTCAGCACGCACAGAACCACGCTCGTAATTAAAAGCTATCGATTTTCCTTCTCCTCCCCCTTCCCTTTCTTTTGAGCCCGTCTCCATCTCCCTCGGGCACATTATGGACTCGTTCCAAACGGAGTCAGCGCTCGCGGCTCGTGCCAAAATACGCCCGCCCTGCACACTAAAACACAGGGTGCAACAAGACTACAACAGTTCTCTTGTTAACGCATTGAACCGTGTTTTTAAAAGCAATCAGGCCTTGAATAGTTTCAAATGGCTGCTTACAAAACTGGAGCTTTCGTGCGTTCGAAATATTATATCCATTTCAGAGGCGTTTTCTAGAACGGGGTACCCTGTTCTAAAATCACGACCCCGTTGGGCGGCACATACCCGTATAGGTTATGTATGGGAGTACCCCCCACTCCCCCCCCCCGGGTCAGTACTGTAATACCGTGTCAGGAAATCAGAGACACGGCATTTAGTGTATTCATTAGGTCATTGAGATTTTTTTTTTCAAGAAATTTTTTTAGTTTTATTATATATGGCCAACATGCAGGACATGCCGCTAATTCCTCGGCACAAACCCTCTTGGCACAAGTTAAGTGGGGAAGGAGGTTGGGAAGGGGGCGGCGTAAGCGAGTGGTCAGCGGGTTCGTTATTCAGCGGTGGGGTCCCGAGTCCTTCGCTTAAGTCGCAAAGATAGAGGTATTAGTACCCCATAAATCCTATCAAGCGTGGCATGGTCTCTCCAGCTGATGTTTTGTGCTTTTCTCATGTTTTCTCAAAAGGTTTTGTATGGAAAGCGTCGAGACTATACATAAACCTGGCAGACCACTGATGACGGTTTAAGCCATCTCTTGTTGTGGTGTTCAACTGATTTTGCTTTTTGTCTACTTACTATTCATTTCATATTTTTATTATAACAATCTCAATGCAAGATCCAGTATTTTCCAATTTTGCAAAAATTTTAACATTCCCTCCTAATTTTTTCATTAAAATCCAAAAATTCACAAAGTTTAACAATTATTGAACCAATGAATTCTCGAATGATTGATTCAACGGAAATCTTGGCTATAGGCATTTCAACGAAAAGGGCTGAGACAAACGAGAAACGAGGCTTTTAAGCCTTTTAAAAAAATTAGCTTAAAACATGGAGCTTAATTCCTAGCAAACATTCATGCTCGAGATCAGCATTCGGTTTAATATACAACAACGTCGAAACGATTGGCTACTTATTGAGAAAGATTTTTTTATCAGAAAGTGATGAGACGGTAGCCTGTGTTGCAGCCGGACTTGCTAAAAGCAATTGTAAAAAATAAAGGACATTTTTTGTTGGTCTTTTTGCTTCAAAAGTCCCTGGCTGAAAAATTCATCATGAGCCCGCTTTCTTTTTGCTTGATGGAGGGGTCTTTTTATTTAAGGGGACTGGGATTGGGGGTATTATGCATGCACATTAGCTTAAACCCAAAACATAGATGAAATGCATCCTCGACTCTTATCATCCTCGGGAAAACTTCTTACTTAAAATCTTAAACAAGCCAATTGTAAACAATTTAAATGTTGCACAATGTTCTTTGGTCCTTCTGCTTCAAAAGGCCCTGGCTGTGCAATTAGCTATGACCTCTTTCTTTTCGTTGGTTTCATCTATTTCTAATCCAGCTAGACAGTCAGGGTGTCCCCCAAAACCATCGCAACTGAATCCGTAGAAAATTGGTGCGAGGCAATACGAACTCCAGAAATTATGTCTACAGCATAAATCATGCTGGCAACATCCAGTGTGGAAACAGCAATCATTGCACACCCAGCTCCAACAGCTGCTTGCTCTGCCACACATTCCTAACCACTTATCATTATTTGGGTCATTCTCCAAGCTGCGACAGGATCGCTTCTGTCTGTTATGATGGGGCTCGTCGGTTTCTTCTTTCGGGTCATTCGTAACCCTTAACTCACTGGGGATCTCTATGTTGGCAGCCTTGAATAGGCTGAAACACAGAGAATGAAATGGCTCCAGGATCTCCGGTTGACTAGAGTTGTCACTTAAGGCTTTAGACATAAGCTCTAGAAGCTGCATTTCAGGCATGTAATGTAGCTCGCTCACGGCCTCTTGGTAATGGATTTTTAAAACCTCGAGTTCGGAGAGCGTCTCCTCAGTGGTGCGCTTCAAAGCCAGATACTTTCGAACCTCCTGTGACAAGCTGGGAACAGCGTCAGGAACGTAAATCATCTTCGGCCCATGCCTGAAAAAGGTAATAAGCAAGCGATTTCAGTGAAAAGTTTAATAGATGACTGTGAAAGTATGTAGTTGTGGTTGATAGCTAGACCCTGATTCTAACAGGTGCTCAAAACTAAAACACGGGTAAAAGTAGCTGTCACTCACCGGCAACATACAATTTTTATAAGCCATACTTATAAAGTTCCCTTTCACTTACATCAACCTAATCTCTCGACATTCCTTTAACCCCACGAACTGACCACCAACACTTTGAAAGATTCACACTTTGTTGAATAACTTTCAAAGAATCGAACAAAAATATATATTCCGGCATTTCTGTTTCTTAAACACTCTAAAAGCGATTGATATCTAAAGGGTTACGAGAATGTATTAAACTAGCAATTGAAAGAAAATCCCATTTGATACCAAATGTAACCGCTCACTTTAAATATTTTTACTTGTTTAGAGACTTTGGTCAGAAACCCTTCTTCAGCGAATCAGGTTTAAAACAAAAAAGCAAGAACGGAAGTGAAAGATAGGCCACATGATTGGCCTTCCTTTGCAGCAAGCGTCCTGATTTTCATCGATCTAAATTTCTAAGTTGCATAGCTCTAATGCTGAGAAGCTGAACCTTTCTTTCTTCTGTGCCTCTGAAGTAGGCGGGCGTATGAAGTCAATACGGACGCAAGAAAGAACCGCACGCCCATGTCACTTCAAGTACCTGCTACCACTAGGCTAGAACTTTTCGGTGGCCCTCCTTTAAACACTTTTATTCCTCAGGAAGCTCACAAACTTTTAGGGTACAAATATTCTCTTTCTATTACAAAGCTATCGCTGTCGCACATCATGATTTTACAGTTTTTGGCCAACAATCCACATCAAGATAGAAAAATGTATGATGATCGGCAAGCCCATCCACTTGGCTCGGATTAATGCTTGTGTAAGGCTAAGTAGCATAAAATTCCGAGTTATTTGTTTGGCAAAAACGGTTTTCTTTCCTATAAATTTCGCTACCAAGCGTGGGAATTGTCCGGTCAACATAACAAAAGCGGTACAATGTAAAAACTTCAAAATATTAACTTCCTCACATTATTTTAGGCGTCTTCAACAAAGATGACACTGAATCAACTTTTCAGTAAATCGATTAAGGACGTGACTAGAGTATCCCAAAAGGACAAAAATCCCAACTATACAAAAATAATATTAATCAAATGAATCAGGAGTCACAAACCCAACAATCAAATCATCTGATCAACAATAATCAGGGGCACCCAACGTCAATTTTCGGAAAATATCTGTTCGGAAGACTATTTGAGATCTAGAATTTTCGGAGTATTTGTTGTCAAATTTCTTGCTTGCCTGCCTCTCCTAGGATTTTCGAACGTCTAAAAAATGGTATAATTGCAAATTTTTAACGGATTTTTACCTAAAAAGATCACCTAGAATTTTCGGAAGCCCTTTTTCTGGCTGAAATTTTCGAAAATGTAAGTTGTGATCCCTATAATTTTCGGATCACTAGACTTTCAGCTAGGAAATCCGAACAGATGAAAAATTTTTAGGGGATAAAAATACGCCTACATCTATCGTTTAAATACTAAAATACGTTTAACAATGCTATGTTTAAGTGGTTTTGAACTATACTCTCGTTGGGTGCCCCCTAATAATGTGCAAAAATATATATATCTACTGCATGAATTCAGTGGAAAACACGACAAAACAAGCCAAGAAATGTTTAAAACAAAAATATAGATGATTTCCTGGAAATCCACAGCGAAAGGTAAGGGTACGGTTGAAAGTTAAACTTTGCGGAATATTTTAAGGTGTAAACATGTTAAAGCGTGTAGAAACGAATCAAATAAGAAGCACATGTCTCAGACCGAATTCATGACAGCAGCAAGTATCTATTATCACACGTTTATGGATAAATAATGGTAATAGGACCTCTCTCCTCCGCAGAGGCCCCCTGTGTATCCATATAAAAATAGCAATAATCGAAAATAGCCTAGGGGACGATGCCCGTCGTGCTCCGCGCGCTCTCTTTTTCTTTCTCCCCAGCCTCCCCACCACAAAACAAAGAGTCCACTGTGGAGGAGAGAGGTAATAGGACTCTGTTATCATTCGAATGATTAACAAAATCAGACGATCGCGTAGCGGGAGTCCGATTTGTTTTAATCACTAGTATGAATTTAAAGACGGAATTGGACGACACGAAGCATTATTACCAATTAATCATAACTATAACAAAAATTGTGATAATTTAAGCGTTTTGAAAATATTATAGTTTTATGGGAATGACTTGTACTGTTCTCAGTATTACAATCATTATGTTCTTATCCGGCAATGTTGAAATCGGGACTGCTAATAGCCAATCAGATTAGAGACTTTTGTTATAGTTATGATTTAGATTATAAGAATTGTAAAAATAGAACAAATGAAATAATTGATCATAATACGGAGTAAGATTAATGTTAATCCATACAAGCTTAAAACTTTCATTGGTTGTTGACTGCTTGTATTTTTATTGTTGAACTGGTTTTCGCTTGATACATATTGGTCAACGTTAAATACAGTTTAACTCAGACCCCGTTCGGTCCCGGACAAATTTTTGAGTGAATTATTACCTGTGCAACCCGTTTCTTTTTCTGCGGCTACTGAGTCACAGTACTGTTTCAGCCGTTCAAAAACTCGCTCGGTTCCGCGGGTCCCGTGTAAACGAAAGGTGGATCTTTCCGACGAGCAAGTTTTTGTCCGTTCAAAAATTTGTCTAGACCTGTGTAAACGAGGCCGGGAAACGAGGTCTTAGAGTAACAGATTAAACCGAGATTACCAGACTTACCCGATGAATCCTTGATCCAAAATCTGGTAGAAGAACATATACTGACCTAGTTTCGTATAATGGACGATCACTTCTCCGCTTGTTTTCGCTATTTTTATGGAGTTCTTTTCAACCTCAAAGCAAACACCAAGGGTCTGATTAAAGATGTAGCAGCCTTTGACGTGGCCTTCGGAGAAACTATCCAAGCGAATTCCAGTTGGTTTAGAACAAGAGATTGTCATCATTGAACACAAAACGGCGACAGCGGCAAAGGGAAACAGAGAAAATGCTCCAGTTGACATGGTCATAGATCAGTTTCTTTCGAAGCCTGTTCTGATTGCTTGGATGTGTTTGAGCCGTACAGTATAGTAGCATCCTATCTCGCCGATCACATTTATTTATTCAGTACGTTCTTTGACTTCCTTACGCCAGCGCGTGCTTCTTAGCTACGCCCAAAATCACCATGATTGAGCGCTGTAACGGAACACTATGATTTTTGCTGTTACTCTAGCGGATGCTTCTCATGTTACTGGTTTCGTCTTTAAGTTTCGTTATCGCTGGTTATCGTGCGTGTTTTAGAAAGCAATTCGTGCCTGATGATTATTGTTGGATTCAATTTATTCAGAAACAGTTTCTCAATGATTTCAAGGGTTTTAAAGTATTTCATAAAGTTCTATAGGAACATTATTGCTAATGGAGTTACCCATAGCATACAAACGCAGAAGCATTTCCGGTCGTCGCAACTTTTCGGGTGGAGAGAAGCGACAACCGAGCTTCTTCTATCGTGTTGCTGCTTCCGCGAGCAAGAGGCATGACGCGAATCCTGTGTTTTGATTGGCTATGCGAGCAGTATTGACTTATGCAAGGTATAAAGCCACCAAGACTGAAAAGCTGCCTGAAGCATCAGAGTCTAGGTCGTCTGGAAAGGGTTTCCGACAAATAATCACTCTCCATATGATTGTCTACAGATCTGATCTAGATTTACGGTCACAGATCAGTCCCCTTTATTAGTTTGAACGATGTTTGACGACGAAAGTTACCTTTATTTTGAATGCTGGGAGTTTGGATAAGAGTGTTCCGCCATCTTGAAAATACCCAGAAATCCCAGATCCATATCGTGCTTTACAGGTGCAAAAAAAAGGAGGAACGAAAGCTGAGATTATTTCACTTCTTAGATTTGTTCCGTTAACAACCATCGGCCCTTGTTATTGATGTGATTTTAAACAAATACTTTCACATCGATCTCCAGCAAAAGAAACAATAATAACAACTTTCACATTGTTGCAATCGAAATGAAATTTTAGATTCTTTGAAACACTGGAACGCTTGTACATGGCTCTAGAATAGTCAGAGTGGTAATATTTTCAGGGTTTGTGAATACATCACCTGAGTTCCTGTTATTAAAGAAATAAAATCAAATTGAAACTTGCTTTCGAGGTTTTTTTAGTATATTAAATATATTTAAAGAGAGCACTCGCCACTACCTGGGACCGAAGCAGCACGAGCTATGAAAAAGATTTGTCAAATGCAAGCACATATTCTTTACCTCAGTCGGATTAAAATTCCCTCTCTGGTGGGTAACTTTGAACTCAAAGTGGGGAACTTTGAACTGAAATCATATCCCAAGGGTTGGGAAGTTTGACCCCAAATTTTTGTTTTTGATCAAACCCCCCTCCTTCTCGGGCATAACATTGATAGCTGCATTATATATGGTCTCTTTTTAAAGCTTAGGAAGTCGACTTTTCAAGGAAAAAAAGATTTATGGTGCGCCGATGAAGCCTTCCGAATTATTTTGCTTCAAAGACACAATAAATTTTGGGGCGTAATTTAACGGCATAAACAGGCAGTGTATTTGGGTAAAACATTTTGAACTAAATTCGATTGCATGACCAAAAATTACCTTGAAACACCTGTTGAAAATGGTGAACTAAACTGTTCTACTGCATAAAGAATTTGAAAAACTGACTTTACATAGCATATTTTTCTTACATTCTCTGTTCTGCATTACCTCATAAAAGTTACCTTACAGTACCTTATGTTACATCGCTTCGAGTTTCTATCTGCCTTGGAACTTTCGCGCACGGCTCTGTTATGCTGCCGCCTCGCAGCCTCGCAGCCTCGCAGCCTCGCGTCATCGCGAAGCTGCTCGTTGGCAATTTCTACTTTCACATTAACCATAATACACCTTGTTTACCCCCCAGAATTCTGCATTAGTATTGTTTTCAAGTTCTCTTGGGAGAGTTGTAAATCTCTAAAGAGATTGGAAACAATACTTACGCAAAACTTTTTGGGGGGTAAACAAGGTGTATTATGGGAATGTGAAAGTAGTGAATAACCAGTATTGATGTAATTCATGCTTTATTCCACGACAAATCCAGTACGCTAATTTCAAGTACTTTTAGGATGTAAATAGGGTAGGTAATATTAATATTAGCCTACGTAACACGCGCACGAGAAATTTAGGTCACAAAAAAAATTACGGTGGCACTGACTGCCACGGAGGTCGAGAACGCGCGCATGTCCTCCTCCCGCGAGGGCATCGCTCTCGCACTGCCCATATTTCTCATGCCTCCTCCACACAGACTATATGCAGTCAAAGCCCGCTTTACTGACACCCGCTTTATACGGACACCTCATTTTAACGGACAGTTTGCTTTTTGCCTTGGATATGTTGCGTCTTTCTGGGCGATGAAATCACTACATGTTGGAGCCACAAGAAATTAATAAACTCAACGAATCAAAAATAAAGATCTTCTGTTTCCAGAAACAATGTTTTTAAACTTTTATCTCTGTAGCCTTTAATAATAATTGCTCGGTCTTATTGTCGGTTACTGAGACCCAAACAACTTTATATACAAAATCTGGACAAAATAACCAAACCCTTGTTCCCTTCGTAATATTTCTTCAATTTTATAGTTCCCTATCCCCGAAAAATCCCGAAAAAGTAGACTCTCATGATCAGGCACGCACTGCAGCGAAAATGCATGACGGGAACAAATAATTGGAAACTCTTGATTCTGAACAGACTAAAATTCGATTGAAAGAACCGTTGTCACTTTAAAAGTGTAAACCATGAAAGATAAGTATTATGAGATTTGTGGGTATAAGTTTACGGCATATGATTTGTAATTTACAAAGCTTTCTCAATCAAATACCCTGTTTACTCGATTAAACCTCGCCCTCGAATAAACGTGGCACCCAATCAGTCGAATGCAGTGTTTATTTGAGGATTATAAAGTAGGTATGCAAGTTCGTACAACTTGCAACTGGTAATAGAGTACTAAAGTGATGACGTCATAAAAATGAAATTTCTGAAATTATGGGATTTGTCAGGATATTCTGAAAGAACAATGTCCAAGAGGCCTACTTGCCAAAAATGAGCATTTTGGGGTAAATTGTCTCCGAGATCGTAGCCCAGTTATACTCAGAAAACTCCATACAAACCCTTCTAATTTTTTTTTGGGTCGACCCCAAAAAAATTTAGAAGGGTTTGTATGGAGTTTTGTAAGCATAACTGGGCTACGATCTCAGCGACAATTTGCCCCCAAATGCTCATTTTTGGCAAGTAGGCCTCTTGGACATTGTTCTTTCAGAATATCCTGACAAATCCCAAAATTTCGGAAATTTCATTTTTATGACGTCACACTTTAGTACTCTATTCATCCTAGGCTTGATTACCAGCCGCTGTTCTGGAAATGAGCCAGCGCTCCTCCCCTGAACAGACTCTTCTCACGAGGTTGTAATAACGTTAGCCAAGGGTTCGTATGGTCAAGGCAGTCGTATGGCGCGATTACATAGGAGTAGCGGTGACGTCTTTTACTAGATTAACGCTCAAAGAGAGACTTAACTTAATGTGACTATCAAGGTGATTTCATAATTTATTAATAGTTATGATCTCGAAGAGTCGAAAAGCGTTGTTAACGAAAAAAAAAAACAGCTGTACTAAAACTATTGGTGTGTATGTCTTCCAAATGAACGAGTAACAGAATTAAGTTAAAATAGTCAACAAACCAACTTTTATTTCTCTCCTGGAAATCAAAATGGACGTTTTTGTTATATGCTTACCGATTAAAGCTTATTTTAGTTCCTTTAGCTTAAACTAGCGCAGTTTTTACGGTTTATGCTAAAAACACCTTATGATTTAGCTTGGCATGCCCTTGAATCAAGTTAACCCCACCATGATTTGCGTTTTTTACACTTTGGATAACCCCCGAATTTGGAGCATGTGAAACCGTATCGGAAGGGGGTGGCACAATATGATGTCCAACGACCATAGTTGCAACATATGTCGTGCTCGTAACAGCCCCTATGCCAACAGCAGTCGCCACAAAACAAGCTCCAGCACCAACATCCTAGACCACACATTCCGCGACATGTATTCGCTTTTGGTCGTAAGCAGCGCTTTTCTCGGTAATGCTGATCAGCAGTCTCATCGCCCATGTCATGCGCAGCTCTGAACTCATCCTTGACCTTTTCACCGGCGAAAAATGTCTGCGCATGCTCTACTAAAAATGACACGTGATCTATTTCGCGCAATGTCATTGGCTCTGAGGCAAAAATGCCAGTTGAGATGAAAAAAATAATGGCTGTTTTTTTGACAGTGATAGCGTTGTGGTTTTCTTGCCATAGTAAGAGATCAAAAAACATTTTGGTGAAAGTTTTGAGTGGAATGTTTTCTCTAGAA